CTGTCCTCACCCCAGGGCCCTGCCTGAGCGGTTCACAGTGTGTTAGGCTCAGGGCACATCACCACATCGCTAGTCTTTCAAGTGTAACGCTTTCCCTGAGAGAAACAAACGCCTTACTTATTGAGATCCACAGGAGCATCTTGCTATTCACACCCTTACATGTTGGCACCTTCCTTCGCGTCCCTAAACTTCCTGTGACACCTCAGTCCGTTTCCCTCTGACTCAGATGGGACAGACGCTGTCGGGCTGCTGTCGGGGCTGCACTCAGAGCAGGGGCTTCTCCAGGATGACAGCGTACCCTGTGCTCAGGACCTGCTGAGCACGAGACACGGCATGCAGGCTAGGGAGGCCGTGACGTGAGGGGACGCAGCAAATGTAGCACCGTCAGAGCAGGTATTATGTCAGTGGTACCGCAGAAAATTTATCAGCTCCTCGAGTTTGCTGAACTGCTTGCTGAAGGAGACTTCACAAGAGGGCCTAGTTCCATCCCGGCCCTCGCGCAGCCTGCATTCTGAGAGACTCACAAGGAGTCACCACGGCCTCGTTTGTTAGTAGAGTGTATGACTGCGCGGGGTGACTTCGTGGTGTGCAGTTTGAGGTCTGATAAGCCATGAAGTCCAGCGTAACTGGGGAAGAGCTAAGAGCGGCATGAGGAAGATGCTCCCTTGGAGTTTGGGTATGCAGTCAATTCAAAATTCGTGAGATTCGTGTGCTTTATGATTACGCAAAAATTGTTCTACTATTTAGAATATCTACTTAGCGGAAGCCCCCAGCCAGCAACTCTGCAGGATGTGGAGGTGCAGGGAGGTGCGCACCTTGGCCGCTCCGTGTTACGCGCTGTCCTCGTGGCCAGGCTGGTTGTGTCGATGACGGTACTTCAACATGTGCTGATCTTTTCCTGAAAGATTTCCAGATAGCATGATTTAAGCCCTGTGTATGCTCCAGCATCTAGACGAAGCATTTGGATGTGTGGAATGCTGACCTGGGGCAGAGACCCTCCCTCGCTCCCTCCCATCCTCCCCTCTACCATTTCCGCACCGTTTCCCTCTTATGTCAGCATGGTTTTTTTTTTTTTTTAAAATTTTTATTTATTTGAGAGAGAGAGAGAGAGAGAGAGAGAGAGAGAGAGACAGAGAGAGACAGAGAGAGACAGAGAGAGACAGAGACAGAGAGTGTGTGTGGCCAGCTCAGCCCACCAGGGGGCGGGGATGGCTGGCATGTGATGCTGGGGAATTGAACCGCGGTCCTTGATGCTTTGCTAAGCTTGTTCTAAGTAGGTGTTTTAGACCACTGAGCCATCTCACCAGCCCAGCATGTTTTAAAAACTTGTCTGCTTTGCAGTGTTGGCAGCAAGACTAACAGAGGGCTGGGGATATGTGTAG